TTATTATATAATAATAATAACTCCAGTGAAATGTTTTAGCTTTAGTTAAATAGCTGAGCTAACAGGTTCTGCAGCAAAGAGGCTCTTGTAGCTGAAACTTCAGTTTCATGAAGCTGCAGTAAAAACATTTCCTGATCCAAAGCAGTGATTGGATTCTTTCTCCTCTTTGTCCTCAGCTCCCAGTCAGCTGTGCTTCACTACTGTTCTCTACAATGAGATGGAAGAAGAAGAACATCTGATGATCTTCACTCCTGGAGCCATGCAGTAAAATAATGTTGAGTTGTGCCTGAAATCAGATTGTTTTCATTAGATCTACAGTAAGAGGCCCTACTGCTTCCTTTAAGAAATTATTAACATCATAAAGTTGCTCATTTAGTCAGATTTCTGCTCCTATTATTACCAATGAATTAATACATATGCTGGAAAACATTAAACAGAATAATTCAGCAGAGGTCTGACTAAAATATTTAAGACTTTAAACTTAATAAAAGATTCAAATTATTTAATAAATGACCCACAACACTCATAAAACCTGATCAGTTTTCATTTGACTTCATGAAGGAGATCCAGAAGAATAAAAACAAGAACAAACAGGTTTAGACAAAGTTTTTACCACAAGATTAGAATTATTAGATAATAACTGATATTTGATTCATGTTAAAATTCTGTCATGAATAAAGATGTCATTAATGTCCCTGTTGTTGTTTATTGCAAACAGATTTATGTTTAATTTTAAATTGTCTGTTATCCTGCTTTTTTTTATTTTTCCAACTCCTTCTAATGTTTTTAAAAAAGGAAAAGAGACTTTTTAGTCTTGATGTTTATGGAAATAACAAAAGCCTTAAAGTAATAAACTCTATACAGCAGAGCATTCAGAGGTCTCAGATATCTGCCATGTAGCTCATTTTCCTAAACATATCGTGACTTTCACCTTAAATTATTACATTAATACATACATACAAATTTTTCAAAATTCCAGGATCCAGTTAGTGATCCGGTTTATCACCAAAATGTAATTAATGTTTGAGTCACAGTACCTACCTTCTCTGAAAATAGCAGCAAAATCCACAACCTTTTCAGTTATTTTGAAAAAAGATAAACAGACAAACTGATGAAAACATAACCTCCTTGGTGGAGGTAATAAAGACAAGATGGAGGAACAGCAACATTACAGCTCTTTGACCACATGGGTGCAACAGTTGGCACCAAACATCAACAGAAAACATTCAGGAAGCAACCAGAAACACCTTTTTCTTCTTCTCTATTATTAACAGAGGAGTTAAATGTGACCCCTTATGTTATATTCGTGTTTGATAATGACCAGGCGT